CGTGACTCATAACATGGAAATAAGAATACGCGCAGCTGTGGTATCGGCGCTAATCAAAGGCATCTCCGGTGATATCTATTACATGCCGATGCAGTAGACGCGAGTTTAAACGTGGAACTTCCTGGCATCACGCACCTAGACAAGAAAGTCGCTGTCAGCAGCCAGGTTTAGGCGCTTGACCTCATGACTCATGCCATGGATGCGCGCAGCTGTGTGTCTGCGCTAATCGTTTGTATATCGTCATCCCCCGGTGATATCTATTACATGCACGTGTCGCGGATTGCCTCGCGCCGCGGACCTCCCCGCGCCGCGGATCGCGTAGCGCCGCGGTCCTCCCCGCGTACTCGCGGATCGCGTAGCGTCGCGGTCCTCCCCCTCCCCGCGCCCCCGCGAATCGCCGCAGAATATCTCCTTCCCCGCGCCCCGCGGATCGCCAAGCGTCGTGGAATAATAAACGTGGAACTCCTCGACATCGTTCACCTTGATAAGAAAGTCAGCAGCCAGGTTTCGGCGCTTGACCCCGTGACTCATAAGAATACCCGTCCAGGTGTTCGCGCTAAAAATGACAGGTCAGCACCTAGATATCTATTACATGTCACGTAGTGACAGGTCAGCACCTTACGTGACGTCAAAGTCGCGTACTCCCCCTCCTCCCCGCGGTCCTCTCGCCCCGGAGTACCCCCCTCCCCGCTGTCCCCTCGCCACGGGGTACGCCCCGCCCCGCTCCCCCCTCGGAGCTCCCGGGGTAGAACCGGCCTATATACCCTACTACGTATAGAAACGTTGTATAGAACAGCTGTTGCTACAATAACAGCAAGTGCCTTATCAATCTTGTTAAAACGCATCCCAATAGCCAAAACAGGACATTTTCGTTTCCACATCCCGAAAAATCGTTCAACTGTTAAACGAGTTCGAATCTGAGATTCATTATACAGATGCTGTGCTGATGTTGTGGGATTTAATAAAGGAGCCATTAAATATGGTAAAGTTGGATATCCAGAATCTCCGAGTACACTGTCACCGAATCTGCCCATTTCAAATAAAGTTTTAATTCTTGAATGGTCAAAAATAGTTGAGTCGTGTGCAGATCCCGGCCAACGAGCAACTATATCTATAATTTCAAATTTTACATTTATGACTACTTGTGTGTTTATGGAAAAGTATCCCTTTCTGTTACGGTATACTTCACCATCTTCTCTTCCTAGAAAACAAAGAAACATTGTACAAAATACAAACGTTTGTATACTATAGTAAAAATGTTCTTACCACATGATTGAATCTTTATATGAGTACAATCTATACACCCCATCACATGGATAAAAGCTATGTGAAAAAATTGTGCTTCATTTTCCACAATTTCCTGTTGTGTGGAAGAGAGCTTTATGTATTCATCTTTTAATGCTGCAATAGCATTAGACACACGATGCACAATTCTCAGGACACTAGCTTTGCTAATTCCAGAAAAATCACCAATAACCACATAGAAAGATGCACTTGCATAAAATCTTAAAGCAACCATTAATTGGGTTGCAGGAAAAATAGCATTATTCCTGTTAATGTATAACATAATATTAAAGTATCACCAAAATATAATTATAATATATAATAGAAATTGTAAATATACATACCGATCACTATCATGTCGTATTACATGTTTAATTTTTTCTAGAATCGTTATGAAGACAGGTTTTGATATCTTAAATCTTTCTTCGAAAAGTTTGTCATTTAAAGTGTCAAAATAATTAATACGTGGTTTAAATATACGTTTTCTTCTTTCATTCTTTTTTTCAGGATTATCATCTTCGTATTCGTCGAAGTCTAAGAAATCCATAACGTTGTTAATCTTCTCATAATTATTAATTATATCAAATATATTATTCCTGTTGGGAACGCCTTTCAACCATTAGATTATATCAGCGTGATATCTCTAAAAATTCCTTGCTTGTTATGACACGCGACATGAATAGGTTAATGTTTGCGATTTTGCGCAATGTTCACGCCTGTTCTTTGTTTCCCCGTGAAACGTTCCTTCGTACTTAATAGAGGTCTCTCTACTTTACTCGTGCGGCAGGTACTTAGATGGCCGAATGGACCATCTGAGATGGAGATTCTTCGTGACTCGAGACGATAGTCCAAAAAATGAGACTGAATTAACAGATAACAAGAACCACTTTTATTTACACCGAACAAGACTCAGGTTACAGAAGGATTTCGCTCTCACTCGATTACGACGTTGTATAAAGTACGTTCAATTCGAGACCGTCGCTCGGAACTTTTCTCGATGCAAATGGCCGTTAGCCCGGATCACGGCCCTACATCCTGGGAAGGATGGTCTCGTGCGGGTGGTGACTCTGAAGACATCCACTACCACTCTCATTCGACCAGTGATAAAGCTCTCCGTCCTGCCAATCTCATCATAAGATCAGGGATCATCAACTACGTTGCTGATGGCGGGCGGAATGTTCGAGATTCATTTCTGAATCTCGGTCAGTTCGTCACCGGCGTGATGGCAGCATCAGCCGGGTCGGATCGTGCAGCGCCGCAGGAGCGCTGCGCGCGCATGCCCGATCGCGACACGAGGCGACGGCGCTTCTTCACGTTCGTTACCGGCGCTTTTGGCTCATGGCAACCGTACCTAGTACACGCGTCGTGTAGTGCTTAAGACTTTTAGAGTGCTCTTGTGGACTTTCTCATCCGAGAACTGACTCAGTGTGAATACGAAGTGAACTCTTATCAGTGCGAATCATCCAGGACCACGGATACAGATCACCGGCAGCTCAAGCTCACCACGCATCGCACGCCGGCGCCGCGTGGACACGGCTCACGGGCATCCACATTCACGAGGCCGGCTATCGATTAATATAATCGACCCGTGCAAGTGATTAAGAGACTTCTCATCCCCGTTATATCATAGACTGCTCAAACTGTAAGCTTCTTACATTTATTAAACGGAGACACGGTATTTTACGCAAACGACCTGAGTTACGATCACGTGATATTCCACCCTCTCACGCGTGCATCCGTTCCCTGAGCCTCTCACCGCAAAGTCCTCTCAACCCTGCTTCCATCTGCAGTGGTACCAGCGAGCTCTCCTAACGAGAGTCGCGAGCACTCTCCGAATCCTTTTCCCCTCACTTCCCATCGCGGCGTCCGTAACTCGGTTGGGCAGGTGCTGTCACCTTACGATCGGCGCGTTAATTCGAGAGTGCGCCTTCTTCAAACTTAAGACGCTTTGATTTGTAATAGAAAGCTATAATCCTAAACATGCCGCTCGCCTCGTGCATTGATGCGAAACAAAGTTCCAATTAGAGAGAGATACAAATATAAGTAAAGAAATCGATAGAATCGGAGAGATTAGGACATCTTTTAACTAAAGTATAAAAGGTGAACCTAAATCCAAACGTCTGACACTGGTTCGCCACACGCCGTGCGACGAACCCTAAATCTAGGCTCGGACGCAAGTCTGCCGCCCGCCGTGCGACTAATAACAAAGGCAACTATTCTTGACAAGTTTTGACGGGTAGTCGACACAATTTAACTATTGGTCTCCTATAAGTTCCGGAGGCAGTCTTCACTTCTGCCACCCTGACATTTCCGCTCGAGTCCGGAAAAACCTTGACGATACGCGCAAGCTCCCACTTGCTGGGAGGCAGCTGATCATTTCGAACAATGACGAGTTCTCCTACTTGGAGATTTTCACAACCCTGTTGCCATTTATTCCTTTGCTGAAGGCTGTGTAAGTAATGCTTAGACCAAATCCTCCAAAAGCTCTCGAACATTCTGCGTACTCGCTGCCACCGGCTTAATCTTGCTTCCGACAAATCTAGTACCGACTCCTCAGGCATTGAATTCAAAGGTCGGCCCACTAGGAAGTGCCCTGGAGTTAAGGAAGAAAGATCGTTAGGATCATCGGTCAAGGGTGAGATGGGGCGCGAATTTAAACACGACTCGATCTGCGCTAATAAAGTATTGAACTCTTCAAGGGTGAGCGTATGAGATCCGACTATTCTTCTGAAATGATGCTTCATAGCTTTAACGCCAGCCTCCCACAAGCCCCCGAAGTGTGGAGCGTAGGGCGGAATAAATTTCCAGCTAATTCTGTCAGACGCTAGCCATGAAGTTAGGTCCGAATCGCGTGTTAGAGCATAGAAGGCTCGCGAAAGTTTGCGCTCAGCTCCCTGAAAATTGGTGCCCTTATCACTATACACAACGGACGGTAGTCCACGTCTAGCCGAGAATCGTTTAAATGCGGCGATAAACCCGTTAGTGGTGTAGTCATTGACTAGTTCCAAATGGATAGCTCTAGTTGAAAGGCAAACGAATAAGGCAACGTACATCTTATGAGTTTTTTGCCCTCAAGTCGCGGAGTACGTCGCGAGAAACGGACCAGCGTAGTCCACTGAGTGGACTATGCATACCTCCCAGATGAAAGCCGCTACGTCCACCGCGGACGATGGTGGGGATGTGGTGGGGGTATGAGCTCAGGCGGCCGAGCGCCTCGGCTGTCTTCGGAGAGCAGAGTGCGACAGATTGTGAGACAGAACATGCTATGTTCTGTCTCACTCTCTCGCACGCTGTGCATTTCTAGACTTGTACCTGGTTCACACTCTCGCTTTAAGTAAGCTGTAAGCCAATCACAGGCATTGATTCTCCTCACTGTCACTGTGATTGGTTGATTTGTTATGGCTTAAGGTTCACAGCTTACTTAAAGCAAAATTGTGGACCAGGGGTATCCGAGCGTCTCAGGCAATTTCTTTTGCTACGCATAGCGATGTTATGATATTTGTCATATATAATAAACGTTAAATTTTATACGTAATATTTATTACAAACATTTACAGTACTAACCTAAAAAATTAATACGATACGAATGTCTCAATACAATTTTTATTCTGAAAACTAAGAACTATCGATCATAAATATGAAATAATACAATGTTTAAAACCTAAAATACATTAATATGCTATATATATTAAACATTGCATTATTTCATATTTGCAATCGACAGTTTTTATATTTTGCAGATAAAAAAATTGTATTCAGACATTTATATATTAATTTTTTAATTTTTCTAATATATGATTGCAAATCATATTACGTATAAAATTTGACATATATACATATATATATAATATATGAATATATGTCAAATAGTATATATACAAATGTATATTTATATTAAGATATTACAAAGAGAATGTAAATATATTTTGTATTTCAGCATGTCCAGAAACAAATATATATCATGTATATATACATATACAAGGTGCGTTCCATAAGTAATGCGACCAATTTTTTTCTGACGCGACGATACACCGCAGCTTTTTCTAACCTGGTGGGCTAGGTGGAGGGGGGTGTTAGCTTCAAAACGCGCCCGGTCTCGGTCGTCTCCGAGCTGCCGGAGAGTCAGGACGTGTATTTCCATAAACCGCGTTTTGAGGTCATGTAACACGGCGCAATGGATCGTTCTGTGGACCAACGTTACGCTATCAAATTTTGCGTTAAACTTGGGAAGTCCGCCACCGAAACGTTTCAATAAATTCAGCAGGCCTTTAGTAGTGATTGCTTGTCCAAATCACAAGTTCTCCGATGGCACAAGTCGTTCAAGGAGGACCGAGAGGAGGTCGCCGACGAACCCCGCAGTGGACGTCCATCAACCTCCCGAATCGACGAAAATGTGATTCGTGTGCGTGACTGTGTGAATTCTGACCGACGGT